CTTTTGAGAATATGAATGCTTAGTGTTCATGAAAACCTGATCCTTGGCAATGGGGTCAGCTGGCTGGTGTGTAGGCAGGTATATATATGTGTGTTTATCCATGCATATGTATGTATGTATATGTATATACGTATGTATAAACACCACCCCAGGGCCCAGCTCCCTGCTGCCCTGACAAGGGAATTAGGAGAGCCAGGACTGGCAGAGGGAGCAGTGCATGTTGCTGTGCTTTGTGGCTCATGCTAATGTGCAAACTGCTGCACTGTCTGCTCCAAATCCTTCAAAATAAGGAATTAAAAAAAAAAAAAAAAAAAGCCTCAAGATTGCACCTTCACATTTTTGGCCATGGCCCTTGGTTTTCCTCCTTTAATAAACATGCAGACCTCTTCCTTGTGGCGACTTGGCAGAAAAAAGCGTGTGATATCACAAGCTCTCACTGTAACTTAGCAAGCGTTGCAACACTGCGTCTGGCTTAGACATTTGTGGAGACCTTTTGCCTTTGCAGCTCACACATCCCCTCAGTCTTAATGTCATGCCTCTGAGCTGCAGCATTAACCCAGGCCTTCTGATCTGATAAGCACTGCTTTTTTGCAGGGAAATGGTATCTGAGTGAGATCTGGTACTGAGTGAGTCCTCTGCTGAGCCCGTGATGTGCATGAACTGCTGGATGGCTCTGCTCAGGAGGCTGTTTTTTCAATTTGACTTCTTAATCCTCAGGGTAAGCTATTTTTGTGGAAATATATGTATGTCTAAATACAATTTTCTGAAGTGTTTCTTAGCAGAAAGGGAGCGTGCAAGGCTAATTCAGATGGAGGGTGACCATCTCTCCAAGACCAGAAGATTCCTGCAATCCACAACATGTATCTGTTGTTACAGGGGAGTGAGCAGCCATCCCAGAAAGCCTCCACCCCGTGCAGGGATGGGGCTTTCATTCACTGGGTTTGACATTTGGGGAATTTTCACTTTCAAGTTATTCCTGACTTTATAGAAGACATAAAACACGAGTGATTGAGAAGCTGCTCAAAAGGAGTGACACTCTCACGAGGTCTCTAACAATGACAAAGGCACACCATTTTTTAAAGTGACACACATAAATGTGTCATATCAGCTGTTTTGTGGGATTAGCCGCTCGGCTTAAGGAGCCCTGTAACCTTTCCCAGAGTGTAGTCAGCAGAGGAAGGGGCAAGAAATGTCCTAATCCTGATTAGCTAAGGATTGGTGTAAACCTTGACTGCTTGCAAAATTTCAAACTGTTGCAACTCTGCATGATTTCATTCATGCCATGCCCTTGCTGAGCCTCACAAAGGTTTTCCTGTTGGTAAAATGAGCTCTGTCCTGTTGCTTGTAGCCAGTTCCCTCTGGGAAGCCCCTGCACAACCCTCACTTGGTGGCCACTGAAACAGCTCAAAGTTAAGTCAAGGTGTGTGATGGCTTGGAGTAATGTGAAAGAAGGAGTAGGCTGTAGAGAGAGTAGAGAAATTGCTTGCAATTTTATGGTTAATGCGGAAGATTAAGTTTCAGTTTTAGTATTCTATTCTATTCTATTCTATTCTATTCTATTCTATTCTATTCTA